AAGCCCCGAGGGACCAATTTAATCTTTTTTTTAGCACAAAAAATTGAATTTTTTTGAATTTTGTGCACATTGAATTTTATGAAAATCCACCTGGATGTGTGGGATCTGAATCCAACCCCCAGCAAAGCCCCGAGGGACCAATTTAATCTTTTTTTTAGTACAAAAAATTGAATTTTCTGCTTCTTCCACCACGTCGCGCCCCGAGATCTTCTTCATCCCCTCCCATGGCCCCCCAACCTTTGGCTGTCTCCTCCTGGATTGTCCCCACGAGGGGACGAGGTTGGGAGACACCAAACTCAACGAAGGCCCCAGACGAGATTTTGGATTTCCAAACCCCTCGTTAGATCGACGAGACCCCAAAAACACAACTCGGACCCCAAAAACACAACTCGGACCCCAAAAAACTCAACTTGGACCCCAAAACCACAACTCGGACCCCAAAAACGCAACTCGGACCCCAAAACCGCAACTCGGACCCCAAAAACACAACTCGGACCCCAAAAACGCAACTCGGACCACAAAAACACAACTCGGACCCCAAAAACCACAACTCGGACCCCAAAAACACAACTCAGACCCCAAAAACACAACTCGGACCCCAAAAACGCAACTCGGACCCCAAAAACACAACTCGGACCCCAAAAACTCAACTTGGACCCCAAAAACTCAACTCAGACCCCAAAAACTCAACTCAGACCCCAAAAACCACAACTCGGACCCCAAAACCACAACTCAGACCCCCAAACCACAACTCAGACCCCAAAAACGCAACTCGGACCCCAAAACCACAACTCGGACCCCAAAACCACAACTTGGACCCCAAAACCACAACTCGGACCCCAAAAAACAGAACTCGGACCCCAAAAACGCAACTCGGACCTCAAAAACGCAACTTGGACCACAAAAACACAACTCGGACCCCAAAAAACACAACTCAGACCCCAAAAACACAACTCGGACCCCAAAAACGCAACTCGGACCCCAAAAACACAACTCGGACGCCAAAAACACAACTTGGACCCCAAAAACCACAACTCGGACCCCAAAAACACAACTTGGACCCCAAATACACAACTCGGAACCCAAAACCACAACTTGGACTCTAAAACCACAACTCGGACCCCAAATACACAACTCAGACCCCAAAAACTCAACTCGGACCCCAAAAACACAGCTCGGACCCCAAAAACGCAACTCGGACCCCAAAACCGCAACTCAGACCCCAAAACCCACAACTCAGACCCCAAAAAACTCAACTTGGACTCCAAAAACACAACTTGGACCCCAAAAACGCAACTCGGACCCCAAAAACCACAACTTGGACCCCAAAACCACAACTCGGACCCCAAAAACACAACTCGGACCCCAAAACTGCAACTCGGGCCCCAAAACCACAACTCGGACCCCAAAAAACACAACTTGGACCCCAAAAACACAACTTGGACCTCAAAAACGCAACTTGGACCCCAAAAACACAGCTCAGACCCCAAAACCACAACTAGGATCCCAAAACCACAACTTGGACCCCAAAAACACAGCTCGGACCACAAAAATGCAACTCGGACCCCAAAAACACAACTTGGACCCCAAAAACACAACTGGGACCCCAAAAAACACAACTGGGACCCCAAAAACAAAACTCGGACCCCAAAAACACAACTCAGACCCCAAAAACCAGAACTCGGACCCCAAAACCACAACTTGGACCCCAAAACCACAACTCGGACACCAAAACCACGACTGAGACCCCAAAACCACAACTCAGACCCCCCCAAAAACTTGAGGACGCCCAAGGTGACGACTCCGACCGCCGTCCCCTCGCCGCGGTGGCCACCAGGACTCACCTGGCCCGGCCGCTCTCCTCCTCCAAGGGGACGGAGCCGGGCAGGGGCGGCTCCTCCTTGATGGGCTTCCGGCACGTTCTGGGTCGGTTCTGGCGTCGCTGCGGCGCCGAGGGGCTGTTCGGGGCACAGAGCGGGTGGGGTGAAGGGGTTTGGGTTGGGTTGGGGTTGGGTTTGGGGTTGGGTTTGGGTTTGGGTTGGATTTGGTGGAACTGAGCGCGTTATGGTTGGTCATGGAGTGGATTTGGGTTTGGATTTGGGTTTGGGTTGGGTTTGGGTTGGGTTGGGTTTGGGTTGGGTTTGGGTTTGGGTTTGGGTTGGATTTAGTGGAACTGAGCGCGTTATGGTTGGTCATGGATGGGATTTGGGTTTAGGTTTGGGTTGGA